GACATGATTATAAAGCCTTCCTGACCATCTTGAAGTAAACACCCCTTTAACTAAAGTACTACCAAATATCTATATTTTATTGTTTAGTTTTTGACGGCATCAACAATAGTTTGACCTACAGTAGTAAACTGTGTCACTCCTCCATCAAATCCCTGTTCTAGTAAACCACACGCCTCCTGCTCGTCTACACGCAATATCCCTGTAAAGTAGATTGTGCAACATAGAGCGGATTCACAAGACGACAGAAATAAAATCAAGGTAACTAGGGGTGAGTTTCTCCAGACGGGGCCGAAGGTGAGGGATGTTCCAATCCTACTAAACCAGCTTAACTAATAGCCTTAAGAGGAGGGGAGGGGTTACCTAGAAAACAGGTTGGCATGACAACAAGGGAAAGCCTGCGTAAAGGTCTGAGCCGAGAGAGAAAATGCCAGTAAGCAACATGTGCTCTAATCTGGCGTGTTAGTCACTGGAGAGGATTACGTCTGACTGTGGCGAGCGCAGAAAGTGTTTATGCTGCACTTTGAAGCCATAATAACACGGAACAATGTGTTCCATTATAAAGCAGAAATGGCTAACATTGTTTAGTGTGCAGTCGTACACATTCCCCGCTGCTGCTGCTGACTATGCGGAACTGAAACGCATGTCGTAATGCATGAGCTTAATAATGTTAGGCGTTCAGAAAAGTGTTGCATCACATTGTGAAACCCGTGCTGCAGTTTGCATGTACAGTATTGATGGCGGTCAGGAAGGGGTGTGGGGTGAAACTGTGAGATAAGATGAAAGCAACACATCAAGTGAATCTCTATTACATTAGCTATGTTTACTTTCACGGTAACACTTTACAATAAGGTTCATTAGTTAATGCATTTACTGACATGAGCTAATCATGAACAACACATGTACAGCATTAATTAATCAGAATTGAACATTTACTAATGCATTATTAACATTTAAGTCCATGCTTGTAACATTAGCTAATGCACCATGAGTTAACATGAACTAACAATGAACTACTGTATTTTCATTAACTAACGTTAACTAGCATGAACAAATACAGCAGTAAATGTATTGTTTACTGTTTGTTCATGTTAGTAAATGCATTAATTAACATTAACTAATGAACCTTATTGTAACGTGTGACCACTTTCACTTACTTATGTACATTTTGGATTATTGCATTAAAAATGTGCAATGGAAACACAAAGATGTGCTATGTTTTGAAAATGTGCTTAAAAACATGAGTTTTGCAGTGTCTCATTTCAGAGGCTGCATCCTCCAAAGAGTGCAGACTTTAACGGTGAGTCCTTCGAAGTCCACACAGACCGAAACGAGTGTTTTAAAATCAGACGCTCTAGCCTACAGAGGACAGATCTCGTAACCTAGCAACCGTAACAGCTGCCGTTAATAAGTGGTAATGAAATTGTAATTACTTTTTTTTTCCGAAGTGATTTTAAAACCTATTGTAAGCGATTTAAAGGTTTACAGAAGCTAGAAATGTATTTCCTTTGATCCATACATGTACACTCAAACATGTAAACTGTCTATAAAATCTATTTTTCGTAAGATTTGTCATACTCATTTTGTTTTTTTAACAATATCCACGTAAAATAAAGCTAATTCATACATTTAAACCGGGGGTTTCTTTTAAAAGCGTGCAATGAATCTTGGGGCGTTCGAAGGATCCACCAGTTGTATCCTTTATTACCTGGGAAACGAAGAACGCATTTGGAGGCTGGGTTTGAAGGAGCCTTCGAATTTTTTTGAAATGACACAGCCTTCGTCGCGCCTCTGACTCAGCGCACTTCAAATGCATCCTTCTGAGGGTGCAGCCTCTGAAACGAGACACAGCTTTGGATACATCTTTATATATGATAAGAAAAAATGTGCATAAACTACCATGGAAAAACACATTTAGTGAATAAACTGATGTGGTTTAGTTTTTGCCAGATGATTTGACATATAAATGTTTGTGTGAGGGTCTTTGAGTCTTTAATGTTGGTCTGCAGCCCTCCATGTCTCCAGCTTTACATTGTAAAATATCTGAAATGTTGTTGTGCTGATTTTAAAAGGCTTCAGTCCTCCGTCAGTCCGTCATCACAGTGCTTCAGTATTCTTCTTCTATTATTCCCTCCAGAACTGTCTTGAGCATCTGTCTGCGCTCCCGTCTCAAGCCTCCAAAAGCCACCGGGTTCATTGCGTTTGGTCTTCGTCTTCTGAGGCGCAGCTCATTTATTAGAGGAGAACAAACACCACAGTGGAGAATCCCAACAGTGCAGCAAACTACAGGTGGAAACGTTGCTTTATTCACAAATTATATCTCATCACACCTATTTTTATCATCACAATGCATTAAAACTGACTTTTTGGATGCACACTGCAATTTATTCTGTAAATGCATTTCCAGCTTAGTTTATGCACATTTTTTGTGTGCATTTTTAATGCGATATTTCTAAATGCACATAAAAAATAGTGGATGTAAACATCTTTGTTCCCGAAAGTATTCAGAATATGTTGTTTTGTGATCAACAGAAGAAATACATTCATTCTAGAAGCACTTGAGGGTGAGTAAATGATGAGGAAATGTTCGTTTTTGGTCAACGATCTTGGTTTTATGGTAATGGAGATTATGCTTGATGTGTTGCTTTCATCTCAAACTAGTTTTGGTTTGAACACACTCCTCCTTCCTGACCACCTGCCATAAATTCTGCTGTCAAAACAGCAATGCAAAAAAGCCGTAATGATCATGTTTCTGGGCTGCACCCAACGTGCACTCGCTGTCAGCGTGTTTTCTGGCTTTGCAGCGACTCGTCCAGCAGAGCATGTTCACAGATCTCTGGCCGTCTGCCAGTAGGGTTGGTTTGTTTTTCCACGGATGGGTGAGGTACGTGCCTAACTCTCTTACTTCCTCATGAGTGCCTGCAAAAACAAGTCCCACTCGGTGCCTGCGGCTCCCGAATCGCCTCGCCCGAGAAAATCAGCTTTGTGTGCTGATCGGAAAGACATTCAGGCAGACGGAAAAACTGCATATCGCTTTAATTCTTACTGTGTTGAATTCCCCATTTCATTAATAAAAACATTTCCAATCTACATATTTGCACATGTATTACTCTATTGTAAATTTGGAAATAAAACAAGATGATTGGTGTAACCGTTTAAAGGGATAGATCACCTAATAAAGGAATATTTCTGTACTGTTTACTCACACTCAAAATGATTTATAACTTTGAACTCAAAACAAGATATTCTGAAGAATGCTGAATGAAAATATGCCATGGTTGGAGGCAAAAATACCAATGATTCTCTTCCAAAACTGTTGAACAGAAGGCTCAAACAGGTTTGGAACAGATGTAAATGATGACAGAATTTATTTTTGTGTGCGCTACCTCTTTAACAGTTAAATAAAATGGTAGTGATTCTTAAATAAATGGATCAGTATTATTAATATATATTAATTGACTGTCAATTTAAGAGTGAAAATCCATTTACAAGATATTTTAAGTCCAACTGCTGTGTTCCCAAATGTTAAAACACTTTCATTTTGCTGCACACTATGACCCACATGTATCCGAGGTGAAGTGATTGCCTAACTCGCTTTCAGTCATGAGTCACATATAAACGGATGACAAAAAAAAGAATTTGGAAATGCAGAACCACGTGGTCTAGACTCGTTGTCTTCGCTGTGGGACTTTCCATAATTTTGCCAGCCATCATGAATCACATGCTCTTCTTGGCAGGCTTGAATCAGGCTTTGAGGCTGAACGAAGTCCAGTTCTGATGAATAATCTACCAGTGCAGATATTCCAGACGCAAAACGGCTCCCAAGTGCACTACTGCTGGAATGATTAAAAACTCCAACGAAAGCTGCTGTAATTTCTCTAAACCGCGTCCGAGTCGAAGCCTTATTGCAGCAGTTGTGTTGTTTTATGTGTTTGGGGTTATGGAAGAGTTAAAGGGATGCGGTGGCGCGTGACGTTGCGTTGGCAGCAGCGCTGGAATGTGGAACTCTGAGGGTTCTAAGATCACATTTACACACAGCCCTCAGTAGTGCACTTTAAGCAGCTTTGGTAAATGGGTCAATACTGTTTTGCAGGTCCTGTGAACTGCGGAGCCTTAAAAAGTGATTAAACTTGATTTTTTAAACAATAACATTAAATCTAAATAAAGATCTGAGGTTAGATATTGCTCAGCAAGGGATTTACAGATGACTGCAGATAATGGGAATAGCTCATGTAAAAATGAAAACTCCTGTCATCATTTACTCAGCCTTCTTTCCCACTTTTATTTGTTGTTGATCACAGGAGAAGATATTTTGGAGCATGCTGTAAACCTCTAACTATTGACTTCCATATTTGTTTATTCCTACTGTGGAAATCAATGGTTTCAGGTTTTCAGCTTACTTCAAAATATAATATTTGGTGTTTGGAAACTCATAAAGGTTTTGGTTCACTTTACTGTGAACTGTACTTCTGATGTTAGCCTATTCTACATTTTTATACGAGTATATAAAATATATTAAACCAGTTTCAGACATGGATGTGATGTATGGGAGTGACAAATCAAATAATACCTGAAAACAAAAATCCTTTTTAAAGTACTTGTGCAGTTGATTCACATGATTTTTGTAATCGGATGATATTGGAAGAACTTTAAAATTAACCATCCACTTTAAAAATCCTGAGATCAATAACCCATTCAACAATTCTGTCACAGATTTAATTTTGTGCTGTAAATCGTTTAAACTTAAGTAATCTAACGCTCAAATTACGTTTATATTCATCGCACAGCAACTCGGTGGAAAAAGCACACTTTCTGAGGTATTTTCCACCTTTTTGGTCGATGTTTTTGATGTCTCTTCAGTTCAGCCTCGTCGAATGACGACTGCAAAAATTACGCTCTCATTCAGCGTGAGGAGGGAGCAGCGCGCGTGCGCAGAGCGAGTTGTCGAAGAATCAAGTAAATACAAGCAGCGCGGTGACGTCACCGCTCCCACACCGAGAGCTCGCGGGCTGGAGCGCACACTGCCATGAACTTCGGAGCGTAACTTCGCCGTTTTTCTCGCTTTTCGGACGGGCTGGGAAACTACGACCATATATATTCTTTTTACCTCATCACCACGAGCAGCATTTGGAGAAATTAGTTGCAACATTTGTGCCGTTTCCCCGTGTTCAGCAGCATGTCGTCTGCGGCGGTCGCTGCCTCGCGCAGGCAGTCGTGTTATTTGTGCGATCTGCCCCGCATGCCGTGGGCGATGATCTGGGATTTTACCGAGCCCGTGTGTCGCGGGTGCGTCAACTACGAGGGAGCCGACCGGATTGAATTTGTGATCGAAACCGCGCGGCAGCTAAAGCGCGCGCATGGCTTTCAGGAGGGCAGATCACCGGGTCCGGTGGGCAAACCTGGCAAGGACATGCAGTCCATCAATCACGCGGAACCGGGCTCTCGTCCTCCGCAGCCGCTGGATCGGTACCCGTTAACGTCAGACAGACCTCCTAGACTAGGTGCGGAGTACCAACGCCAGGCGAATGGGATCCCGGTGCCAAACGGGTTTCCGAAGCCCGACGAACCCCCGGAGTTGAACCGACAAAGCCCGAACCCACGTCGGACCGGAGCCATTCCACCCAACCTGGTGCCGCTTGTGAACGGGAGCATGCCGCCGGTGCACGCGCTCAACGGGAGATCCGTGCAGATGGGCATCCCCCCGGGCGCGCTGGCGGAGCATGTGGGCAAACGAGCGGACGACATGAAGGACAAACACCGGGCCGACAGCATGAGCGACCCGAGCGACGGACACAAGCGGGTGGATGAGTGGACGCAGAAGGGCAAGACGGTGCGGGAGATGATGACGCTGCAGACGCTCGACTCCCGGTTCAAGAAGGAGCACGCGCCGCTGCCGCACAGGATGAGCTACGAGAGCAGCTCCGGTGCCTTAAAAACAGGTACGGGTCACGCTTCACGCGCAGTGTGTGTGGCTGGGATGATTATGGAATTTAATGAAACATCCCAGATTGTAATCTTGTGTAGGAAACACAGCAAGTCTGCGTTTGTTATCAGCATTCAACCTGTAGAACAGTCTAACAAACAGCACGTGCTCTTGAGTTTATTATCCATTTTAAAATCAAATCAAGTTCATTATAAAGCACAATAAAAGCAGCTGTAGTGGATGTCTGTTGAGAAAACAAATCAGAACACAGATGTAAGTGACTGCAGTGCATTTAAAGAACACCAAGACAGCAGAAAAACACTGATTAATAACAATCTTCAATACATTATGGACCGGTTTAATCGTCAACTATGTGAAAACATCCTGTAAGACATTAACATCTCATTTATGCATGCATTAATGTATGTTGTTCACACTCATATTTAATAATTGTGTCAAACTCTGCTGTAATCTGTCATATAATATATTTTCTGTTTAAACACGTAAAACATCAGAGCGTGATCTCAAACTTTAGATTTCAGGTGCACATTTGAATATTTATGTAGTCCTTAAAATAATTTGACATCAGAAAGAATCAAATTGTGAAAATCAGTCATGCATTAGTGCTTAAACCCATATCAAACTCAAGAGCATGTGTAGATTTTGCTCACACTCATGCTGTGTTAAGTCTTCAGCGTAAATTGACATGTCAGAACAGGCAAACTGTCAAACTCACACATGCATCAGCATCCAAAACCATATCAATCTCCAGAGCATGCTTCAAAACTTCAGAAAGAACATGCATACTTGTATATATATTTAATTCCTCATATAATTGGACATGTCAGAACATGCAAACCATCAGAGCATGTTTAGCTCAGCTCCAAATAAAGCAGCAGAGAGCGCATGTTCTCATCACAACTCCACTCCATCTTGACATTGTTTATTCCTGCACGCAGACTTCAAAGCATGCTTCGAGACTCAAGATGGTGCATTCATAATACTGTGCTTTGCCATTTCATCATCCGGGCATTTGCACATGCCACATTTCCTTTAGAGCCAACAGAAAGTAGAGCCAACAACAGGTCACGCATGAAGCGTCGCTGCAGAGCATGTCGTCTCTAAGTCTAAGAGTGTTTATCTCTCTCTCTCTCTCTCTCTCTCTGCAGACCGCGGTAAGCACTCTCGGGGAATTAAAAGGAAAACCTCTCCTGAGCCAGACGGGGAGGGCATCGCTGTTAAACTAAACGGCGAGGGTCAACCATGGCTGCCGTCTCCTTCAGAAGTGCTCAAGATGCCGTCTGCCGCCCTGCCAGGATTCGCAGCGGCTCCGCCGTCCACCATTTCCCCACATTCGCGCACTACACCACCAGAAGCGGCCACCGCCGTGCAGAACAGCCAATCGCCGATGGCTGCGCTCATATTGGCGGCGGATAACGCTGGCACAGGTTCACCGAAAGACGCCGGTAATCAGGTGCACTCCACGACCACATCGGCCGCAGGACGGCGAAACAGCGGAAGCCCGCAATCGCCCTCTGCTGGACAAAGGAGACCCGCTTTGGGTGCAACAGGCACCGCACACATCCCAGGCATGGACCCGCAGGCCGGGCACCCGCAGAGCATTCCTGACTCCTCCGTGCCGCCTAGCAGCGTGCCGCTGTGCTGCACTTTGTGCCACGAGCGTCTCGAGGACACGCATTTCGTCCAGTGCCCGTCTGTGCCGTCGCACAAGTTCTGTTTTCCGTGTTCCCGCGAGAGCATCAAACAGCAGGGGGCGACAGGCGAGGTTTACTGCCCGAGTGGAGAAAAATGCCCGCTGGTTGGTTCCAACGTGCCCTGGGCGTTCATGCAAGGCGAAATAGCCACCATTCTGGCTGGAGACGTAAAGGTTAAAAAGGAGCGGGACCCTTGATTGTTTATTTTTATTAATTTTTTTTCGTAATTTCAACACCAATCACAACGCATACCATCCAAAACGTGAACTAACGGACTTGTATATAAGACCTTAAGGGGAACTGTACACTTGGGTAAACATGGCTGTATAATTTTATTTTGATTCTCTTTCTTTTTGAATACATTGTGTTTCTATATTCTCTTTTTGAAGCTAAAACGGTATGTACACACACACACACACACACACACACACACACTAAACAGATTCCGTGTCCTCCCTCATTCAGCGAGCGAACGCTCAGTTGGTGTACTCGTAGAACTGGTGGCAGTCCATGTTTAAACACAGAATGTGACTAATACTCTTTAAGCACTTGGCGAACTGAATCTGCTTTTAGCTGTATTGTATGCACTTGTTTAAAAAAATTGCCAAATACAATTTCTGACCTTGTAATAACAATGTGACGTGTCTGTGGTTGGCTTATTGTCTGGCCTCGCTGAATCATGCGGCGGATGATGCAACAGCCTCATTGAGTGAGTGCGAACAGAGGAGGAAAAAAAGTCTTGCTTTCCATCCCAGTGCATGCTGGGAGTCCACTCCCTCAATAATAGTAACTGATATATCAAGTATTTTGCAAAGCTGTAAGGTAACCGGAGAACGCATGCATACGGAAGAGCATCTCTCGCTTTTTTCCTGCTTAACATGCGAGCTGTGACTTGTTCGGCACATTGTTTTCAGGCTCCATGTGGAGCAACCTAATGCTGCGTGCAAGACGACACTCCACGCTATTTTTATTCACATGCGGGGAGTTAAGAGCTCGTAAACAATCTCTCCTTTAGCCTTTTTTGGTGCATAAAGACCCACGACGCTTGTCGATAACTCATGCTGTTTGACACTTTACAATACGCATTCATTAGTTAATGTATTCACTAACGTGATCTACACCAGTACAGCATTCATTAATCACAGTTGAACATTTACTAATGCATTATTAACATCAACAGTTGAGCTTGTTAGTGTTAGTCAATGCACTGTGAGTTAACAACAAACAATGAACGACTTTATTTTCATTAAGCTTGAGTAAATGCTGTATTAAATGTGTTGTTCATTGCTTATTAATGCCAGTAAATACATTAACTAACATGGTAACACCTTAGTTTAGGATTCATTGTATTAACAAACCATTATCTAACATTACTAGTTTAATACTACTAGTTTAATACTAACTACTAGTTAGCTGTTTATTATTAGACCATTTTGAGGGATGTAAACAAAAACAATGGTCCCAGCGAGTGTCCTGTTTTACATTGTTCATTTCTATACCTTCCGAGAATCCAAAAAGAGCCACATATTGATAAATAATGTTATGAGAGCTGTTTTAACATTTAGCTATAATTTAATTACCTCTTGTTACAGTTATGAAATAGTTTGATAACAAGCAGGAAATGTCCATGGGCCAATGACATGACCACATTGAAATGCTGTATAGTTAGTAATGCAGAGGTTCTGTGTTGGGTTAGGATTCACTGTATTAACAGACCATTATCGAACACTACTAGTTTATTACTACTAGTTTAATACTAACTACTAGTTAGCTGTTTATTAGTAGTTAATAATGCAGAGGTTCTGTGTTGGGTTAGGATTCACTGTATTAACAGACCATTATCTAACACTACTAGTTTATTACTACTAGTTTAATACTAACTACTAGTTAGCTGTTTATTAGTAGTTAATAATGCAGAGGTTAGGTGTTGGGTAGGATTATGTATGTAAAATAAGATTATACTTTATAGCTACTATTATGAACAGTTCATATTTTAGTAATATGCAGGTAATAATCCATTAGTAAATGGCATGAATTGTGACGTAACCTAAAGTGTTACTATTAAAATTAGCTAATACAACTTATACAACTATTTGATGCTATTAATGGAGTGTGTTAGTAAACATTGAACTCGATTTTCTCTTCTTTTTGCCATTGCTCATGGTGTAAGCCTACAGTAAACAGTCAGTAATAGACAGAAACTCTTTGTTTTTTCCACATAAATCGGCTTTTGTTCTGTTTAATCAAATGGAACTCTTGAAAATGATTAATTATATTGGAAACCATCAGCTTAAAAGGCGAGCGCTGGCCGTCTGACTCTATCCTCAGAGCTGTGGCGTAGCATATGCTTAATAAAATGTGGCAGATCACGTGACTGTGCTGGAATTCCTGAGTCACGCTCGGCCGCCCGCCTCTCTCTCTCTCTCTCTCTCTCCCTCTCTCTCTCCCTCTCTCTCTCTCCCTCTCTCTCTCTCTCTCTCTCTCTCTCTCTCTCTCTCTCTCTGCACTGAAATGAATGAGATCTGTGTTCTTACATCAGTCACATGTGCTGCTGTTAACCCTTTCACAACCAACATGACCTGCAAAACAGCTTTCAGGCTTCTTACTGGTGCTGGAAATCCTTTAAAACGCTTGATTTTAGTCCCGTATCTTCTGAATCATAGGTGTTTTGGGTTTATTTATGGTGGTGAATTGCATTATGGGCCGTTGATCTCTGCTCTGTCCACTTTTGATGCTGAAAAATCAAGTCTACCGTTTAACAAAGTTCCATTTATTTGCATTAGTTTGAAGTAATATAATGTATAAGAAGTAATATCTAGAGTAATAAGTCTGTATAATATAACTGAAAACGTGCTGCAGTTTATTATGAGGTGTTCGTAGCGTAATGTACAACACCAACACAGACAATACAGCACTGCACACTACTAAACATGATCACTGTTTTCAACTTTTCAAGGTTAAAATTAACATTAATAAGCAGTAAACATAATAATAGGCATGTAATAAGCCAGTAGTGAACGCTGTGAGTTGTGTAGTGTTCTCTTAATACACTTCATTAAACATGCACACAGAGACGTCACCTATACGCTATAAAGCTGAAGCTTAAATGCTTATATATAATAACTTATATTTGATTGTAACGTATAATTAGGGCTAGACGGAATCTGCAGACATCTTTTGCTATTTCTGCAGAGAGTTTTGTAAAACATCTGCGGATTTATGCAGAATTATTTGGGGAGTATCGTAAGTAAAAACTCGATATGTGAATTAAAAATAACACCTTTTTAACTTTTGTGAAATGTTTACAATGCAAATCCATCTTAATTATTTGGTTAACAAAGCAAGTCTCTCATATAATATCTACTAAAATTAATTTAATGACTGAATAAGTATACATTTGTTTACATTTGCAAGTAAATAAATAGACTCAATGAAGGGCTATAAATCTGCAGATTTCTGCGCTCGCTGATTCCATGTGGGTCTCGCTATTAGTGGTGTCAATAGAATTGTTTATTTTGTGCACCACGATGCAGACGGGGACAATTAGATATCAGTTCAGTAACGGATAACCGGTTATTACGTACTGGCGTCATTTAACTCCTATGCACGCTGTCGCAGCAGAATACTAGTGCTTGAGAAGCTAGAGAAGTTGTAACATTACCGGTAATTTGCCGGAATGCTGCGTTGTATAACACAGAATGAAGATTGCCGGAAAGACCACGTGCATGTGCTGTCGTGAGACGTCTACTTTAGCCGATCAGAACAGTCAGACACATTTACGTCCGCACAGTTTAGGAAAATAAAAGCCTTTGAATATTTTTCCAGACACATTTAGCTGCTAGAAATTAGTCAGATCACGTTTATATGTTCATTTTAATGCCAACCGTGTAAATAATTATCGATAAGTTGCTTATGATAAGCCGTTGTTTGTTTACCTTCAAGCTTTGCGTGTGCCCGTAAAATAGCCGGTGCACGCCAGCACACACATGTAAGAATGGGCTTTAAACCACAGCGGTTCAAACTGTAGTTCTGCAGAGCGACTAAAAAGTGATCAGCATGATGGTAAATGACTGTACATTTCTAGTCAAATCCTTCTTCTGCAATCTCATACCAAAAAACGGAAATAAGGGCAGTATTAATAGCTATAAATGTGGGAGAGCGCTGATATTGTGTGATTTTATTGTATTGCAAATATGGAACAATTAAATGTTGATGCTAAATCAAAGGTAAATCACAAATACATGAAAATGACATGATTTAATGACAATAACTTGCTATAGTTACAACTGAATTTATTACAAAATAACTGTATTAAATGATAAAATATGAAATGATAAAGCACATGATATAAACTGTACCCAGCTTAGATGTAGAATTAAAGTTACCAGAGGCAGAAGGAGAGACACAGCGGGAGGGAGAGAGAGACAAAGAGAGCAAGTAGGCCTTAAAGAGGCAGAGCAGATAGACTCCAGAGGAGGAGAGCAGGAGAAGACAGGCCAGGAAAAGAGACAGAGCCCGAGTTCACCACCTATTGTCTATCTTTCTTGACCACGTGACTAAAGTCCAAATGCTGAGACAACTGACCAATCAACATGTGACCACACCATAAACCCCCAAAGTCCACATATCAGGCCCTGATCTCATCAGAATCTGCCTCTGGAGTCAGTATGAACCTTCTTGAGTCAAAAAGACATGTTTTGTCAAGTAAACAAATGCATATGATCATTCAGCCTCTTACACACACATATCATGTACATCTCGACTAAGCGGCAACCTCCCGCTCTCCCTCAGGAAGCCAATACGGAAGAAACAAAAACTGCAATTCATCTGAAATTGTCTCCAAAACAGAGCAAATTTCATTTGAGCCCACTGTTAGAAAGGCCAAGTTTACAGCAGAAAAAAAGGTGTTTACAGCCTGCTACAAAAAAAGATTTAGGTTAATACAGCTAATATTACCCTTCATGACAACTGTGAGGGGGTGAATTTTTTTATAACTCATCCGTTTCCTTTATATTAAGTTATATTAAGTCTGCATAATTAAGGGCGTGGCCACTTGAGTGACAGCTAGGTCTCGTTGGTCGCCGTCACCTCAGCTCACTCCTGCAGATTAGCCACTGAACTCGGCATATTTATCGTATTTCTGTGTTGTTTTATGTGGCTTTACACAGTCAACTGCCTTTTGGACTTGTTTCCTACAATTATTAGATGGCATGGCATGCTGAGTGCACTTAATTGTGCTCACAAACCGTTCACGTTGCCTCCGTTTCCCATGTGAGTAAAGTTATATACTTATATACCATCTCTATACATGTATTTGTTTTATTTAAGATCATTTATCGTTTATATTTAGAGCTGTAATGCACTGCAGAATCTGTCAGATTGATTAGCTGTAGGCTCTAGATCAGTCATGTGAAGCGTTGTCATACAGTGTTATGCTGGATTTCATTAATAGTCTTACATTAACTAACACAGACTATATCTGAAGTGTTTGGAAGTAATTTGCATTTTCTTCCTGTTGAAAAACGTCATAAGAACAATGTTTAGTGGCTCAGTGTATTACAGCAGTGTTTTTAATAGTCTAAACACTTTATTGATATAGTGTACAACCAAGCACAAGTGGTCAAAACACAAGCGAGTCGCAGGTGATAAAGTATTAAGCGTTCTCCCAAAGTAAACCAGGTGTCTGAGCCAGGTCCAAGCTAAATGCCAGCAGGTGTCTGTAGCTCCGCCCACTCTCCGCCTCTTTGCCCTTATTGGTATCCCGCCGTGGGTGTGATGACGCGCGAACAAAATGGCGACGGTTGGCCACACCTACTTGTGGCTTCTTTTGCGCTCTTTAGAAACGTATGGGTGACGTCACGGATACTACGTCCATATAATTTATGATCTCGACATGTGAAAGTGTTCCTCTATATGTTTTTGTTGAAGTTTTCCACAACACTGATCCTCCACAGAGTTTGTGATGTGGTCAAATGTTTACAAACACAAGCGCAGCCGTTTACAGCTCATTTCTGGTTAATGATGTCAGCATTTACCGCTATTCTGGAATGGATGTGTGAATGCTCTTTTCCGGGAAAATTGCGTAACGTCCTCGCCTGTGTGAACAGCACTTTTAGCAGTAAAGTCGTTCTGGAAATTTTCCATATATTTACCGTTATCACGGTGTGAAAGGGGCTATTGATACGTCATCATAACAGGCAGGTATTTCCATTATCAGCAGATACTGAAGGCATGAATCAGACAGAATGAGCTGTGTTTGCTCCAGGATTCCTGCAATGCTGGCACGTCTCTCAGCGCAGGCCGAAACTCAACACCCCGAGGGGGAAAAGTCTCCGAGATGAATCGCTGTACTCCGGTTTCTCTGCAGCTCTTTCTGTCTTTTGTTTGTGCAGCTGTCACGCCGGCCCGCCCGCCCGCTCGCCAGCCCTCAGCGCTTCATGTCAAATGCATGTTTGCAACCGTCACACCAACGCACCACTTTCCCATGTTTCACAATTCAGCACTCTCTGACGTCGCAGCGTGCTCTGTGATCCAGCATTTTCATTCAGTGTGCTGAGATCCAGTGTCTTAAATATGAGTTAATCCAGCTGTTATGTTAAAGGGGGAGTATTATGCAAAACTAATGTGTCAGCAGTGTGTCAGTATCTCCAGCAGCCTCTGATGATAAACATTATTAATTGTGTTTGTGCTAATCAGACTTGATGCAGAAACACTTTGATTGACATTCTCCCTTTGTACATGTCATCAGAGGGGGAAAGCCCCGCCCACTAGTGACCATCTCTCCATCTCATTAGCATAAACAGCAGGCCTGAGTGAGAAGCAGCCGTCTGTCCATTAGCCATTAGAGTGTTTGAGATAATGTCAGCATAGACTCAGAGGATTATAGATGTGGAGTTTTAGATGAACAGCGGCAGGAGCCACATAGACTGACACAAGCACACACTCACACTGAAGCACACCTGACCAACACTCACAACACACACGCTGCTGATTTACATCTGCCACTATGCTGATGCACGGGCATCTGTAGCTCCGCCCTCCTCTAAAAAGAGCACAATCTCATTTGCATTTAAAGCCACAGTCACCAATTAGGATCAAAGCCTGAAAGGGTCAGTTTCAGAGAGCTGGAGAACATTACCTGTGGAGTATTTTAAGCTTAAAGAGCCCTGAACGCTAAACTAAAGTGTGACCTAATAATATGGATTTAATAATTATTAATAAAAATTCTAATTGGAAAATTCAGAAAGCTTAAATTTGATTAAAGTGTTATTTTAAGAACGTTTTGAAATGTAAAAACACCATAAAACTGAACAAACAGGGTTTATAGTTCTGCCAGCATTTGTAGTGCTTCATAGAAAGCAGCTCTAGAAAGTT